AAACTCGCGATACCATCCATCGATGTCGGTGAAATTGAGCGGCTGGAATTACTCCGAAGAAGTTCCTCAGAGTATTCCCCGTGGTAGATGCGATAAAATAAGCAAATAGATGCAACATCTCTTCGCAGTACCAGTAAATCAAACAGATCGGAAAGAACTCGCTCTACGCTGGAAGTGGAAGGAGCTGGCACTGAGGGGGTCCAGACATGGGAACAGTATTCCATGTGGGGCCGAACCTGCACCTTGTAAAGTTGCAGGCGGTGTGCAGGGATGAAATACTGTCCCGCTCTACTGAGCACGCCAATCCTTTTAGAGGCCAACTTGGCCTTTTCTTGCAAGAGACCACAAAACTGCACATCACTCTATATGTCGACACCGAGGATTCCTGTACTGGCTGAGGCAACAAGGGTAGCGTCTAGACACAGAGGAGATACGGGCTTCGTTTTAGCAGTAAACGCGCACATGTGTCTTCTGGAGAGTAAACTGGACTTGATTTAGTCGCCCCCATTCTGAGACATTGTTCAAAAAAATCTCGACTTCAGACACATGTTTGTTCCGGTACTCAGCGGCGTTTTAACGAGAAATATTGGCACGGCCGGTATATAAAGCATCACCAGTGCTGCCGTCCGCATAGCAATGAATGTTACCAGTCTGCAACATATCATTGATATGCAGAAGAAACAGCGTTGATGATAGCACGCAGCCTTGTGGAATGCCAGCGTTAATAGGGTTGTAATCAAAGCAAGCACGGTCTACCGAACTTGATGCTTCGAACTGCAAGAAAACTGGTGACACTATTGTACAATTTCTCGGAAAGCCCACAGGAAGCTATGAACGGAGCGTTTTGTGCCAAACCCGATCGAAGGCCATCGTTATGTCCAAACTAACAGCCTACGCCTCGCCCTGGACTATACTGCCATCGTCCATCTACGAGTTTTGTAACCTAGAAGATCACCAGCTGAGTGACCCCGACGGAAACCGTGCTGGTGGTCACTAATCAGCTGTTGATCCTCAAGGTAGCGCATTAGCTGGCAGTTAATAATCGTTTCCATTATTTCGGAGAATAAGGAGGTGACAGCGATAGGATTTGAGTGGTCGTCTTTTTAAGGGATGGGGTGCACCATAGCTGTCTTCCATGAGTTTTCGACTATGTCTAGAAAGTAGGAGTACCGGAAAAAACGTGTTAAAACCGGTGCCAACTTCGGAACACACGTCTTCAGCGCAATAGGTGGGACTCCATCAGGCCCATTTGACTTGTTGACGTCCAGGGAGAGGAGTGCTTAGCGCACCGCGCTCTGCGTAAACAGCACAACCTGCATGGAACACTCACACCGCGGGTTGGTCGGCGGTGTGTTCCCCCGTCATCTAGAGTCGAGTTGGACGCAAAGAGAGAGCTTAGCAGATCCGCTTTCTCCTTTGCGGCATAGGCCAGTAAGTCGTCCTCTCTGTGCAGAGATGGCAGAGATGGCTGACAGAAATTCCCTCGGACAGCCTTGGCGAGAGACCAGTATGTACGTGTTCCCGAAGGAAGTCGAATAGTTTCTCGCTAATTTTATCTATGTGCTCAGATTTTGCCTAGGCAATAATACTTTTGAATTACGAAGAATCAATAACAACGTTAGGATCATTCGGCGAGAAATAAGCTCGCCCCCAAGGGTAAGATGCAATAAAGACCACATCCTGCGCCAATCGACCGACCTATAGTGCCAAATACGGCGGAAACCTACAGATCGCAACTGCGATGGGTGGGTGAGTGAGCACCGTATCTCAGATCAGACAATGGTCCGAAGAGCCAAAAGGAACATGGACGGAGACCTGATATCCGTTCGGATGAGAGGTCGGTAGAAGATTTAACAGGGAAGGTACATGATCCTCCATATCTGGGATCTGTGCAGGCGAAGTAACTAGTTTTGTCAGACTATATGCCAAGGCAAAGTCATTAGCAGATCTACCCGCATGATCGGTTTTTTTTATAGGATAAGGGTGACAAACGAGCACACAGTCCACCGGATGGTAAGTGGTTACTGCGGCCCATAGACATCTAAATCTATCTCCTATTACCAATCAAAATGCAGATGCGTTGTCACCCATGAGGACTAAGATGGAATGCCTCATTTCCAGTAAAAAGTATCTCTGGTTCTCTACACTCACCATACGAATCACAGCAGCGTTAAGCTGCTATTTTACGCTGGAATTCTGTGACAGCGTGGTCCTTTCCCGGTCGAGCCGACCCATTCGTGCTATAACTATACTACTAATGTAGCTGCAGCATGACTCTACCACGTAAAAAATAAAGTAAGTAAAAAAGTAGTAATCGGTTAAATCGGGAACCAAGCCATTTAGCGTGGTGGGCGTTAAAATCACTGAGCATCAAGACCTCTACGAATGGGACCTGTTGTAGCACGGAGTCTGCACCCGTTTGGACATAGTCGATGAGTCGGTCTGTGTCGGCATTACCGCTATGAGACTTATAGAGGCACATGTAGATGCGGGGTTGGTCGTCAATGTATACGCGCAGCCATAGGATGGGCAGGACTGCCGAAGCGCCAAAAGAGATGTTTTCTGTGACGTACACGCAAACTCCAGCCCATTCATCATTTTCATTTTCATTCATTTGTTCTCATTTTATTTATATTGAAGTCGGTTGTACAACATTTTTAATTTTACCAATTGTGGTGTGAATTTGTTGCATTTAGTGCACATATTTGTAGTGGCGGTCTAAGAGAATCCACTACCACATATCACCGCGTGAGTGTCGTAAGGAGTTTTAGGCGGAAATAAAAGAGGAGACGGGTAGCAGCATTAGCATATGAGGAAATATGGCGAATATCTTTATAGAAAGTCTGTGTTCAACAGTGAACTTTTAACAAGATGTAAGGGAAGGAATAAGGAGTGTACGGCTTTTCTTAATAAGTAGAAGTTTTACACCAGGCTTGTAAGGCCCGTTAGTATAGAATAAAATAGAACAGAATGGAATAGAGTGGAATAGAATGGATTAGGATGGAATGGACTGGAATAGAATGAAATAGAATGGCATAGAATGGAGTAGAATGGAATAGAATGAAATAGAATAGAATAGAATGGAATGGAAAAGAAAAGAATAGAATATTTTTTTTATTTAATATAGATCACATGTGTAATTCTTATTGAAAGTCATTCTTTACCTTACCACTGGTTCGAAAAAAATACCCATGTCCTGGGAAGAACCGGCAAAAACCCAGCGGGGCTTTTTTAAAGTAAAGTTTTTCATGAATGGCTGTACAAATTATTTATAAAATTTATTTTAGAAACTGTTTGGAAGCGACCACCTCATTCCCAGGGATTACTATCAACCATGTATTCATTTATATTATAATAACCCTTTTTATACAGTTTTTGTTTAATAAAATATTTAAACTTGTTTATAGAGAGACATTGTATATTTTTAAAGACTTTGTAATAACGTGTACATTGCTCCAAGAATGAATTACTGACTCTGTGGTGTCAAGAAACTGGTATCACAAGCTAAAATTACATTTTTTTATATACTGAGAGGCTAAAGTTAATACATATTTTTTTAAATTTTCTCTAAGAGACTATCGGTTTTAGGTTGTAAATAACTCTAAATAGCCCCCTTCTGTAAAACAAAAATAGGTTCTAAATAAGCCGCATTTCCCCATAGCAAAATCCCTTAAAACATTATGCTATGGAAATAACGGAAAAAAACTAATCTAACTGTCTCGACACTAGTGAGAACTCTAATCTTTTTTGCAACATAAGCGGTGTACTGCGTATTTTAGTGAGCGGAGTACTGGGTATTTTTACACAATGAGAATTTGCACTAAATTCTCTCCCCTCCCCTGAATCGTTTTCTACCACTTACCCCCACACTAGGATTTTCTCCTGTATCGTGGAGGCAGTTTACAAACACAAATTGCACAAGGACAAACATCCAGACCCGGAACAATAATTTGTAGGCCATACAAATACTTGTTCCGTGCGGGATTCGAACTCGCGGCCCCCAGCGCACCAACTAATTGCTAAGCCACTGCGCCACGGAGCCGTCAAATTGATGACTCACAGACCCACAATAAAAGAAAAGGAACTTCAGAACGAAGAGACTCAGTAGGGGTGAAGAACTGGCATGAGATGATCGCTCCACTCCTGGGCTACCGGATCTGTGTGAAAGTTTTACGGTAGCCCAGGCGATATACACCGTACGTGGAACACCATTCGAACACTGAGCACATGGTGTTCCGTCCTCATACATATTAAAAGTAGGTATGGCACAATCCGTCCTTGACATCACAAGGCGAGTATGCTTAGGCATTTTCCAATGGTAAATAAATTGCATTACTCAAGTTGAGAATATTTGCTGCATTGATCAGAATTAGGCAGTTAATTATTGACTATAATAGCTTGCTTATGTATGCTCTAAGGTTGAGACGTTGTTGATAAACCCGATAGCGGTTAATCGGTCCTCGTTCATAAGTTCCTTGAAAGGCTTAGCCCGTTACTTAAACTCGTCCTCCTTCGCTGTAAGACTTGAATTCAGTGGCACACTGCTTGTATGCTTAGGCCCGACCAGACTTACTTAACCCTACAGCGTATAGTGGGACACATGTGGCACATACCTAAAAAACCTCTATATTTCCGTACTCGAAATAAGTAGCGTCATCTAGTCAAAAGTAAACTAACTATAAAGGAATGGTCAATCAAATTTAGTACTAAAATTTTTGGTTAGATGTCTCTGAATGAATGTTTGTTTACATTTTGTTCAAAACCAACGGTATTTTGAAAGTGATCGACAGGTTGCGCAAGAAAAAAACAAAAAAACTGATAAATTTGAATAGTTTGTATACGAAATAATTTGTAGAGGTAAGTTTATGTATCTATTTGTTATTTTTTTAGTTATTTGTAATTTCATAAATAAATAGTGCATAGAAATACGACATTTTTTTATGTGACAGATGTGGCACACGATGCAATAAGTGTCTTCAAAATATTTGTATTGTTTCTAGATGAGTCGAAGGAAAAATTTGAATTCTGATGATATTCAACAGTTTCTCGAAATTCCTTCCGGTAGTGAAGATGACCTGGAACTGTCTGATGAGGACAGCGATGACGATTTGATCAGAATCCAGGATTTGGTGTTGAACGAAGTGGAGACGTGCCCTGAAGTACTACAGGATGATTTCTTCGATGAGAACGTGAGCATACCTAGTCCAAGGTCAAGCAGTAGTATGTTAGTGATTCAGCCAACAAGCAGTTCTTCTAACACAGCCAACGTTGCATCACAACCTAGTACTTCCAGGCAAGTAAATCCTAGATCCAGCCGAGTAGCATCACGACCTCAAGCAGTACCTACTCCCCGCATCATTTCACCTTCCCCACAGCCTGTCAGGCCTGCCAGGCCAAAACCTAAGAGAGAATACATATGGCGGAAGATGGACTTTCAGCCACCTGATACCACATTTACTGGCGTTGACGTGTTGGAACAACCATATACTACATTTGAAACACCTTTGCAGTACTTTTTGCACTTTTTTGACGACGATTTGTTGGATCACATTGCTGAAGAATCTACTAAATACAGCATACAGAAGGATTGCTCAAAGCCAGTTTTGGTTACAAAGACGGAACTCAAAAAATATTTAGGCATCTGTCTCTTGTTAGGACTGGTGCCACAGCCAAACATTCGCATGTTGTGGAATTCTATATTAGGTATACCACTTATAATTGAAACGATGACACTCGGTAACTTTGAAAAATTACGAAGTGTCATACATTTCAATGACAACATAAATTACAAACCTAGAGGAGAGCCAGGACACGACAGACTTTTCCGTATTAGACCCTTATTGGAAACATTGAGAAAGAAATGTCAAGCTGTGCCGAAACGAGAGACACTTTCGGTGGATGAGCAAATGTGCGCTACCAAAGCCTGCAACTTCCTCCGCCAGTATCTCCCGAACAAACCTCATAAGTGGGGATACAAGTTGTTGGTGTTGTGTGATGATAAAGGTTTTGCTTATGACTTTGAAATCTACTCCGGCGCAGAAAATGATCCTGAGTTGAGGCTGCCCGACGAATGTGATTTAGGAGCGAGTAGCAACATTGTTGTACGCCTATGTCGCAGTGTTCCAAGAAATCAAAATTATAAGATCTTTTTCGATAATTATTACACGTCTCCTGAATTGATTTCTTACTTGGCTAAAAAAGGCATTCATACATTAGGCACCGTGAACAAGGGTCGTATGGGGATGACTTTGAAAATGCCATCTCAAAAAGAATTGACGGCCGCTACAAGGCCGCGCGGCTATTCAGAAGGATGGGTGGCTACTGTTGATGCAGTACCAGTCTCAGCAGTGCTGTGGCTAGACAGCAAATCTGTTGTTCTCGCATCTTCTTTTGTCGGTGAACAACCTAAATATAAAGTAAAACGTTTCTGTAAGAAACGTAAACAATACACAGAAGTCAACGCCCCAAATATTATTGGACATTACAATCGGCATATGGGCGGAGTAGATCTCCTTAACTCTTTCATAGGAAAACACAAAATAAAAATGCGTACAAGAAAGTGGTACATGAGAATATTCTATCATTTGCTAGATGTGATGCTGATAAATAGCTGGCTTTTATATAAAAGAGTAGAGACGCAGAGAGAAAACACAAAAATGATGAAGTTACGAGAATTCCGACTGGAGGTGGCCAAAGCATTGTGTTGGTGTGGACCGTCAATAATAAAGAAGAGAGGAAGACCCTCCTCATTTGTATCTGACATGCTTGATGAAAGAATCAAAAGGAAGCCAAAACTCAATGTACCACCAAAAGATGTCAGGACCGATGGAATGGAACACTTTCCTATTTGGTCTAACATTAGGAAGCGATCTAAGTTACCTGCTTGTAAGGGGAAATCTTTTGTAATTTGCCAGAAATGTAACCAGGCACTCTGTCTCAACAAGGACAAGAACTGTTTTTTGTCATTCCACAAATAGTTTCGAAATTGTTGTTTTATTCTATTTTTCACAAAAAGTTCCTAGTTTTATAATTATATATAAATACAAATACTTTGATTTTAAGGCTCCTTAACCTAAGGTTAAATTAGTTGTTATAAAACATAATTTTCATGAATAAAGTTTGATTACTATGAGTTTATTTCATTCATAACTATTCCTAAAACATTACTACGGATTTACATTATACTGCACGATGTGCCATATGTGGGCCATACGAAAAAACTTACATAAGTATGTTTCTATGGAGTTGCGATTTTTTTAAATATTTTTCCGAGCTATAGTATTATATTTTCTAGGTAATATATATTTTTTTAAGCCGAAAAAAAAATCATGCACTGTAGGGTTGAGTCTCTGAGAGATGACTACATACTTGTGCCATTTGTTGTAGAGACTATCGGTCCGTGAGGTCCATGTGCGGTGAAGTTCCTAAAGGAACTCCATCCGCGCATCCTTGCTGCTAGTAATAAGAGAGCTGGTTCTTTTCTCGCTCAAAGGCTAAGTATAGCAATTCAGCGGGGAAACGCAGCCAGTGTTCTTGGCACGATACCGCGGGGAGTAGGACTATATGATTATCAAGGTTCTAGATTTAGTTTTTATTATTATTATAGTTTTTAATATTATATATAATAAAATATTGTATATTTTAATTTATAATTAAATATTAAATCAAATCTTAACATTTTTAACGTCAATTCGTTTTTTAAAGCTATCTTTTAAAAGACATATTATTGTAGTGCTTTAAAATACATATCTTTTCATAGATGGCGCTGGTAACTGAAATAAAACCGCTTGCAAGTACTTTTCAAGAGATTTGCCCTTTACCCCTCTGCGACTTACTGACTGAGCTGACACAGACACAGTCATAAATATCACGACCTCATAAACAAACACCACAAAATAACAATATGGCGGCAAACGCATATTGTGTAACTTCACGCTCTCTAAGTTACGAGTATCAAATAATTGTTAAACTAACAGACATACGGTAGAATTTTTTAAGCTGGCATATAGTGCTCTCGATGATAGAAAGTGGGAAGTAAATAAAGCTTACTATGCCTTTTTGTAACAAAATTATTACAATACGATTTCAACAATCGTATCTCGAGCTTTGACCCAAAATCCCGGGACTAAGAAAATTTAATTTAAAAAAGTCTCGGGACTTCGACACTCGAGGCACCCTATTTTATATAAAAATGAGGGTGTAAGATATGACTATATTTCTTAATATGGATTGCACTCCCTTTTACAATGGGAAAATATTTGTTAAGGTGATTCGTCGCTGCAGGAAAAATAACGCGAGCAACGTCGACCAACTTTCTTTTTAATTGTCGACTGGGAAAAATGATTTGACATCTTACCTCATAAGGTTTTATGAATGGTATTGTTAAATTTAGGTTGTCCCGAAAGTTATGTACCTATGTGTATTGAGGATTCTATGTGTTGGAATTATCTGATGCGTTTCCGTGGATGATGAGCAAACGGAAATTTTCCCTGTTACCTGCGGTGACACCGATTGTGATCTCGCGCCATCGTTGTTTGTCACTGTTTTGCAGTAGTTGTCAGGGATTCTTAAAAACGGTGCAGGAATGCCTATGCATTCATTTTTTTTAGTAATGGCCAGCTTTTTAGTAACAGTGATATAATAACGGATATAGTTACATAGTAAAATATATACATATACCTATATATAAAGAAGCTTCGTACTTACGAGTATCACAAAGAGACTGATCGTTATACCTAGCGAGTTTTCTATTATCTATCGACCAGCAAAGTGACATCCATGATCAGAGTAGGTGTAAAAGATTGTCCACTGTACGCCATCGTTCATCGTATGTCAAAAATGATAGAGAAATTATTTATGGTTGGTTCTAAGCTCGTAAAAGAAAAACCATTATTCCCGTGGATTATAGTTAAGAAAGAATTTTATTGACACTAAGCAATAATAAAAACATTATTTCTTTAGAGAAGCACTTATTTTTCTGTTTTAATTTATAGTCACATAAAGTCTGTTTTTATTTGAATCACGTGTGTGAATTGTGAATTGTCGAACATTAAAAGTGAGATATAGCATAGTGTAAACGTCCGAGGCTACAGAGGAATGACCAAGATGTCTGTCTATGGTGGGTCTCACATGAAGAATAGACTGAACAGTTACTAGCTAGCATACTGTCACCCGGACGAATTTTGGCGTCTATTGAAAATTAATCGTCTTTTTGGCATATCCCGTATAGCGTCTTATGACAAGCACGGGATAAAATGGCGTGACAGCTTTCTTTTTTCTTACGCCACTACCATACGGTCAAGAGACGTTATTAAACATTTGAAAAGTAATGAAATCTGTATGCAAAATAAAATGCAGGTGAGCCGCTTGCTCTTTTGCCCTTTCTTATATAAGAATGTGGAAGTGGACGATTCACACTCCACGTCGCCGCAAACAGAGACCTTAATCTAGTATGACACACCCATGTTCATTTGGGTTATTCATTTCTAAAGACGCATACAGATGACTACTATTCCATTGTAAGAAAGAAAACAACCTCGTTGCTTGGCAGGGTGTGAACTAGGTCCTACTCCATCATGAAAATAATTGTTGAAAGATATGATTAATTACATTGATCTTTAATCAATATTACCGCCTCGGTTAAGTCGATAAGGAAATTGTTTTAACAAATTTGGCATAGGTACTTACATAAGCTCTAAGATATATATTTACTTACAAATAATATGAATTATTTGGTAATAATACCGATTGGATCGAGAGTGAGCAAGTGGTTGCGTCACTCTAGCGGAGCGTCGTATCGATGGTGGCGGGGAATAATTGGGAGTAGATCGGGAAACCCCCACTCGTTTGTACAGCATAAAGTTCAGATCGGGAGATTCCGCTGAAGTCATTCTACGAGTAAAGTCATTTTACGAGTGCTAAGATGGTGGTACTTCTAGTGCAATATGGTGTTGCTGAGAGGCTATCCTGTGTTATGATACTACCTCAGCACTCGCAGAATTACTTCACTCGTAGAATAACTAAAGCAGAATCTCTTGCGCTCTGCACATACACTGAACTTTATACTGCACAAATGAGTGGGGATTTTCTGATCTACCCTCCATTCTACCCCGCCACCCTCGGGTGAATGGAAGGTACGACGTACGTACGTTACGACGCTCCGCCAGTGTGGAGCAACCTCCCGCCCGCCCTCGATCCAACCGGCTTTCCATAGACGCGCTGACATATTATATTCTATTTTTCTATTTTTTTTAATTAAATATTTATTTCATTTTACTAGCTTAATTCAATCACGGAGTAAATAATTATTTCTTGGTTCCGTAGAATCTTAATTTTTAACCGCAGAATCCGTGTATCCTTTTGTCAAAGATTTTGAAATCGGAAGTGCTCGGTATGATTTGGAGACGCACATGAATTTTGAAATTAATTTATTCAGAATATTAAACCAAAAGGTCGTAAAATAAACTTAAAACTATCATCAAAACATATAGCATAAAATTGTATATTATATTTTATAAGTAGAAAAGCAATAAAAGTCTTTGCAAGTACTATTAAATCTTTCTCCAAATCTCCACATATCGGTATTAATCTTAGTCGTCTGGATCAGAGAACTGACTCAGGTGTCTCGCGTCTGCTAAGAGAAAAGCAATTTTGTGCTAACTTATTTTATGTTGACGCCCGAGAATTATCCGTCTGAACTCTGCGTATGTGAGTGTTATCATTGAAAAGTAAGATTCTGACATTAACACTACAATATTTCGTTCATGTTATCGCGTAACAACCTCACTTCAAGGCTGATTTACACGGGGTCAGTGACAGGCGCCAGTGCTGGCGTCAAGGACTGACTCGCACTGTTTACAAGCAGTCAGTAGCGGTGGTAACTTATTTAGGGTGTACAAATGTTATTGAAGTCAGTGGGAAAAATGAATTCACGGAAACAGCATAATTTACAACGATTGAAATATTTATTGAGAAATGTTCCTATCTGCTGTTGAAAGAGTTGACGGAAATGTTAGAAGAAGATATATTTAAAAAGAAACAACTTTTGTTAAGAAAATGAATAGACAACAAAAAAGAAACTGGAGGTTCTGCTTTGTTGTTGACGTTACGTCATCCTACAATGCAGCGCCAGCGACTAACCAATTACTGACCAGGTTAATACAACTGGCGCGAGTGGTGGGGGGATTGGACTGACTTCAAAATATTTAAGCAGGAATATTGAAGTCAGCACTGGCAAGAAAGTGCTGTACTGACTTGGAGTCAGTACAGCACTTTCGTGCCAGTGCTGTGCAATTGATTTGGATCAATTTACATTATGCCAATAGCGAGTCAGCACTGACTTGCCTCAAATTTGGAGCCAGTTACTGTCCCTGTATAAATCAGCCATCACAGACTTTGCTTTAATATACTGCTTTTTCAGTGATCTCTTAGATGGCACACGCAATATATTTATAATCGTTGTGTAGTGTAAAGTCATATTAATATGCTATAATTTTTTTTTAAAAATATGTTAAATTAACCGTGTAGTGGTGATGTATGCATATTAAATATCATTAGATCCCGTGGGTGTCGTAAGAGGCAACAGAGAGATATTGAAACTGGAGATGAACAGCAACATGTTCCTGATAACAACTAAAATTATAAAACTACTGCGGGTTGGCACACAGCAATATATCTACTTCTTTTTATTATCTAAAAGCAATGTCAGTGCTATGATTGAGTGACGAGCTGATAAGATATGCAGGAAGTCGATGGATAAAGGTGGCTCAGGACCGTGCTTTGTGGCATTCCTTGGGGGAAGCCTATGTTCGGCAGTGGACTTGTGAAGGGCTGTAATGATGAATGATGAATGTCAGTGCATATTCCCGTCACTGGACAATGAGAATGCGTTATCGTATGTAGCGAAGAAGACACAATACGACTCGCAAGTGGATACTTTGCACCGTCGTAATCGATAAGCTGTCTTATCGTACCCAAT